GAAGAAAGGTGGACTTTAACCCCCAAAATCCCCCCACCCACGTGGGGGGTTGGGGTATTTGTGGGAGTTGAAGTCCGCACATCTTCAAGTTGCCAAGGTCGAGAAACACTGATTTGGAGATTGGTGCCTTCTCTGCCCTTAGAGTGGATAGCACTGAACTAAATGGGGCTATCTTCATTCCACATGCTTTCATATCTATCTTTGCCTTCATGATGCTTAGAAACTTGGATCTTTAAAAAAAAGAAAGGAAGATTCTCAGAAATACATCTGCAGGCTAGTTGGGGTTTAAGGACTTCACCCAACCCCATTTAGAGGATAAAGGTTTTCTGGCTAAAGATTTTGTGCAGTGCAGCCCAGAAAATCCCGTTCTGTTCTTTCTCGATTGCAGAGACATTCTACCTTTACCAACCCCAAATCCGGTGGGAAGGCTTTCTCTAAACATACCGATCTACTGGAACTCCCCTTGGGGGGTAAGTAGCCGCGTGCAAATGGCTGGAATTGCAAATCGTAAATGAAACGAAGCTTGCTTTCACCCTGTCCTGCCTGGGAAAATCACTGACTCCGCCAGGCTGAAATGTAGAAGGCTGGGGAGGGTGCCCAGTTACCAACGCAACCCCAAAAGGTTTTAACTGGCCTCGGCCAGATCATCCTTTCCTTGGTCCAATTGGGGTTGTAAATATCCTGACATTAGCAACTATTAGTTGTTCTTCATTTATTGAGAGGAGGGGAGGGTGCAGTCTGCAGTAAGCCCCCAGCTCCCATTTTGCACCCAGTTCTTTTTTCTTTCTTTCATTCATTCATTCATTTGGTTTTGTATGGCTTACATTCATAAAACCCTAACAGCAAACATGGAAAAACCCATCATGTCTCAGATGCACTCCATGCTGTTATCCGCTTAACGAGGGCCTCCTCCCTAAGGCCCCTTGCTTGCAGGGATCGAGCTGTTCTGGAGTGAGGGGGCTGCAGTCAAGAAGACCACACTCCCAACCCACTCCCTGTAACTTCCTGGGTCCCTGCATTGCTCCCTCCCCACTGGCTCTTACTGGGTGGGCAGAATCCAGCTGGGGAAGACGGCCCCAAAGGTCATGAGGACCTGTGACGTAGCGGGCTTGGTAGGTGAGGACCAGCACCTTGAATTGGGCCTGGCCGCCTTCGGGGAGCCCATCCAGCTTCCTCAGAAAAGGTGCCATCGCCCTGAACCAGCCCCACCAGTCAGCAGGCGCCAGCTGCATTCTGTGCCCGCTGCAGCTTCCAAGTCGTCTTCAAGGGCAGCCCCATAAAGAATGAATCACAGCAGTCTGGCTGAGAGCTGGCAAAGCTGGGAGAGAGGGTTTTCTGCCCTTTGTGGTCCAGCAAAGGATACAGTCGGTGGCCCACCAAAGGTGGCCAAAGGCTCTCCTGGGGTCCAGGAGAATCCCTAGGCCGTTCACCTGCTTCTTCAAGGGCAGTGCCACCCCACCAGGAACAAAAATGGCACCGCCATGGTACCCTGTTCTCTGCCGTCCTGTGCAGACAGTAACTCCATCTTGCTTAGCTTTCAGTTTACTCCATTCTTTCCAGCACCACGTCAAGACTTCTACCCCATCTGCTCAGCCTGGGGTGAAGATATATAGCTGGGTATCATCAGGGTATTAACAATCTCTTACTTACTTAGTTAGTTAGTTAGTTAGTTAGTTAGTTAGTTAGTTAGTTAGTTATACACTGCCCATCTCCCCCAAAGGGTGACTCTGGGGGGCTCACAATTAAAATCAAACCTCAAAACAGTTAAAATATAAATATCC